ATATCCTTCTCCAGGGAATGGTCCTTTCTGACAACATGACTAAAGGAGATGAGACAAAGTATTGCCATTCTCGCTTCCAAGGAGCATTCTAGCTGCACTTCCTCCAGGACAGATTTGTTTGTTCTTCATGGTACTTTCAGTATTCTTTTCCAACACCAAAACTCAAAAGCATCAACTCTTCTTTAGTCTTCCTTATTCATTCCAACTTTCACATGCATAAGAGGTGACTGAAAATACCATGGCTTGGGTTAGGTGCACCTTAGCATTCAAAGTGACATCTTTGCTTTTTAACACTTTGAAGAGGTCCCTGCAGCAGACTTGCTCAGTACAGTATAACATCTTATTTTTTGACTCCTGGTTCCATGGGTGTTAACTGTGGATTGAAGTAAAATGACAACCCTTCTATCTTGTCCCCATTTATCATGATGTCAGTTACTGGTCCAGTTGTGAGAATTTTTGTTTTCTTTATGTTGAGGTGTAATCCATACTGCAGACTCTAGTCTTTAATCTTCATCAGTAAGTGCTTCAAGCCATCTCCACTTTCACCAAGCAGGTTATGTCATCTGCATATCACAGATTATTAATGAGTCTTCCCCCAAACCCGATGCCATGTTCTTCTTCCTATACTCCATCTTCTCGGATTATTTGCTTGACATACAGATTGAATAAGTATGGTGAATGGATACAACCCTGACATACTCCTTTCCTGATTTTAAGCCATGCAGTATCCCCTTGTTCTGTTTGAATGACTGCCTCTTGGTCTATACACAGGTTCCTCATGAGCACAATGAAATGTTCCAGAATTTCCATGCTTATCAATGTTATCCATAATTTGTTATGATCCACACAGTTGAATACTTTTACATAGTCAATAAAATACAGGAAAACATTTTTCTAGTATTCTTTGCTTTGAGCCAAGATCCATCTGACATCAGCAATGATATCTGTCATTCCATGTCCTATTCTGAACACAGCTTGCATTTCTGGAAGTTCCCTGTCAATGTACTGCTGCAACTATTTTTCAATTATATTCAGCAAGATTTTCCCTGCATGTAATATTAATGATATTGTTCAATAATTTCTACATTGTGTGGGATCACCTTTCTTTGGAATGGGTACAAATATGGATCTCTTCTAGTCAGTTGGCTAGATAGTGGTCTTCCAAATTTCTTGGCATAGATGAGTGCCTCCAGTGTGGCATCTGTTTGTTGAAATATCTCAGTGGGTATTTTGTCAATCCCTGGAGCCTTGTTTTTCACCAGTTCCTTCAGTGCAGCTTTGACTTCTTCCTTCACTACTATTGGTTCTTGAGCATATGCCACCTCCTGAAATGGATGAACATGGACCAGTTCTTTTTGGTACAGTTACTCTGTGTATTCTTTCCATCTTCTTTTGATGTTTCCTGCATCATTCATTATTTTGCCCATAGAATTTTTCAATATTGCAACTTGAGGTTTGAATTTTTTCTTCAGTTCTTGCAGTTTGAGAAATGCTCAGCATATTCTTCCCTTTTGGTTTTCTAACTCCAGGTCTTTGCACATTTCATTATAATAATTGACTCTGTTTTCTCAAGTTGCTCTTTGAAATCTTCTGCTCAGCTCTTTTATCTTGTCATTTCTTCCATTTGCTTTAGCAACTCTCTGTTCGAGAGCAAGTTTCTGAGAACCTTCTGACATCCACTTTGGTCTTTTTTTCCTTTCCTATCTTTTTAATGACCTTTTGCTTTCTTTGTGTATGATTTTTTTTTTAATTTTTTATTGTGATTTGGGTGAAAGTTTACAGAGAAAATTCATTTCAGTACAGTTCAAACACATTTTGTCTTAAGACATTGACTGAAATTCCCCACAATGTAACAGCTCACTTCCTTCTTCCTCCCCATAGTTACCTGTTTCCTGTGTCCTTCCCTCCCATGCACTCCTTCCCCGAGCTCTCTCCCTGTGCTAACACTGTACTTCTGTTCTCCCATGATTGATTGCTCCAAGGGGTATCCCTACCTCATGTAATTGTTCACTCCATATGCCTGTCTATTGTTTGGCTGGAAGCCATAGGAGTGAGTTCAATTCCAGACTTGCAAGGTGGTGAGGGGCCATAATCTCAGGAGTCTCACCAGGCTCTATCAGACCAGCAACCCTGCTTTTTTTTTTTTTTTCTTTTATGATTTTGAGTTTTATTCTACACTGTTCTCCCACTCTATTCAGGATCTCCTGCACCGATCCCATGCTCAGTGGTTTTCAGTGGTAACTGGACACCATCTAGTTCTCTTGGTCTCATGCTCATATAGGCTGAGGATCACATGTTCTACCAGTCCTTTGGGCTAATTGTTTCCATGCGTCTTTGGTTTTCTATGTTATTCTTTGCTCCAGGTGAGAAGAAACCCATAGTTGTATCTAGATGGCCACTTGCAAGCTTTTATAGATCCCAGTCACTACTCACCAAAGTTGGATGTAGAACAGTGTTTTGTGTAGCATGATATGCCAATTGAGCTTGATGTCCCCTGTGATCATAGTCCCAAGTCCAGATGTCCAACTGCTCACTCCCTCCAGGTAGCTGGCTGTGGCCAAGAAGTCACCACAACCTTGCTCCTTGTCAGCTCTACTATATACCTGGACATTCTTACAGTATACACAAATACACATTTTGAAACATTGCTAACCTTACACATGGTCATGAGCACACTACCCCCCTGCCTAGATACACTTGGTTGTGTTGATGTCATGCCCTAATTAATGTGGTTTTCAGTCATTGGTGTTCAATGTGTCAAATCTATTCTTTGGATGGTCTCTAAATTCAAGTGGGATATAATCAAGGTCATATTTTGGCTCTTGTGGACTTGTTTTAACTGTCTTCAGTTTCAACTTGAACTTGCACATGAGCAGTTGATGGTCTGTTCCACAATCAGCTCCTGGACTTGTTTTGGCTGAAGATATTGAGCTTATGCATTGCCTCTTTCCACAGATGTAGTGGGTATGACTGCTGTGTATTCTATTTGGCAAAGTGCACGCATATAGCTGCCCTTTATGTGGTTGAAAAAAGGTATTTGCAATGCATAATTCGTTGATCTTGCAAAATTCTATCACATGATCTCTAGTGTCATTTGTATCATCAAGGCCATAGTTTCCAACTACTAGTGATTCTTCTTTGTTTCCAAGTTTTGCATTCCAATAACCAGTAATAATCAACATATCTTGATTGCACATTTGGTCAATTTCAGACTGCAGAAGTTGGTAAAAATTTTCAATTTCCTCATCTTTGGCTTTGGTTGTTGGTGTGTAAATTTGAATAATAGTAGTATTAATTGGTCTTCCTCGTAGGCATATGGATATTATCCTATTCTGACAGCACTGTACTTCAGGATGGATCTTGATACATTCTTTGTGATGATGAATGTCACACCAATCCTCTTCCATTTGTCATTGCCAGCACAGTAGATCAT